CGGGGCTCGGACGGCCCCGGGCGGCTCTCTGGAGCGGTGCCCGCGCAGCCGGAGCGCCGAGAGAGCGCGTTCTGGGGGCTGCCCCGTTGTTTCACTGGGAGCCGCCGCTCTCAGGAAGGGGTTGAATTTCCGAGAGTTCAGTGTGGGACCGGCGGCGAAACAGCGCGAAGGGTGACGCGGGTGTCCGAACAGGGGCTCAGTTATGTTGTGTTGTACCGGGGCTGCTCTGGAGCCTCGTCACGGGCCTCCCGGTTTGCTCGCTGTGTGAGAATACGTTTGTTCTCGCTAAATGTAAATTGGAGGTTAGTGTGTAAATGCAGTCAGTGCTCAGATTCGGCTTTTTTGAGTTTAGGATGCACTAAACAGTACATTCTTCTGATACGGAAGAAATGAAAACATGGAAAAGCAAATTGAGTGCAGATGGTTCTAGAGACATGCAACAAAAACTTGGTAAAGCAGTGAAAAGGTATGAGAACCGTGTACGGAGGCTCTTGTGTCCGTTACAAAGATGCAGGGCGTAGCAGCTGGTAAAAAGAACTGACTGCCTGAGGTTATGAATTCGGAGCTAACCAGAGGTAGATCGTTGTACAGGCTGAATGCTTTTTTTTCTTTTCTGTGCTTTCTCGCTCCATGTCAACTCTTCCCTAAGAATGGAGACAGAGGCAGCCACTGGAAGAGCACATAGTTAGACTAAGTATTAAGTTTCTGTATTTAACTTTTTGTAAACTACTGTGGCTTGAAGCTTAATATTTGTGTTCATACTGGAAAACAAGAACACCGCTGAGCTCAAAGTCTTGAATGTTTGAGCCCTATGAACCATTGCAGTAGTTGTCACGTGCCTTATTATAAACTATAGTTTTAGTAAGCCACTGCTGTCTTTCAGGCGATTTGTTGGCTGAATGTTGGGATACTGCATGACTTACCCCTATTGTCAGCTGTTAAAACATCACTTCTCCAGTAGGAAACTGCCCCATATTTATTACAAGGATACAGATTCTTTGTTTTCAGGAATGTCAGATAACTTGTGTACTCTGAACATATCCACTTAAAACCAAAACTACAACCTATCAAAAGCTAAACAGAATAATGATGACTTTCTTTACTGCAGGTCAGCCAGTGCCCCTGGAAGCTCAAATGTGGCTGCTGGCAGTAATCGTCGTCTTCAGCAGACTCAACACCAAGTAGATGAGGTAAAAGTGTAGTTTGATAGCAGTGTAATCATATTCCTTCAGGAAACTTCTATAACTAAAGGGATATTCTGGACAAAGCAGTTTCCCCTTCCTTATACAAAGGGGAAGCCTAGTGTCATTCAGCTTGCTTTATTAAACTTGTGTTGTCTTAGCTCTTTCAAAGGTTAAAAAAAAAAAAAAGGAAAAAAAAAAAGAGTATTCAGCTGGAGGGTGGAACTAGAGAGAAGCTACCAGTGACCAAACATTAGCTACAAACTCAGTGCTTGAGGATTTAGCATAAGTAAAGATAAAAACCTTTGTTCTTGCAGAGAACAAGCTTTTCTGTCATCAGTAGCAATGAAGGCTGACTGCCAAGTATGATATGCCCAGATTTCTGGGGAGTCCAAAAGCCGGGCTGGCTACCAACAGTATTTTTTTGACATGTAGTTGATTATCATGTTTATGTACCTCAACTCCTTCTGAAGCAATTCAGGAATTACTTCCCAGGTTGAAGGGAATTCCAGCACAACTGGCACACTGACACTTTAAAGTAGGTGTTGGGGGCTTCCAGCCACAGGTGGATTTCACGGTTTTGTTTAAGCTTATGACTGGATATCCTAAAAGGCAATAGCTCCTACTTCTGAAAGAGAACACTGAGAGTACCACATGTTGCTATCTGTTGCCTTCAGTTAAGTTCCACAGTGAGTGATACAACTGATAACTTACTGTAAGCATTAAACTGATGTAGGTTGTTGACATCATGAGAGTGAATGTGGACAAGGTGTTGGAGCGAGATCAGAAGCTGTCAGAGTTGGATGACCGTGCTGATGCGCTGCAAGCAGGAGCTTCCCAGTTTGAGACCAGTGCAGCCAAGCTGAAAAGGAAGTATTGGTGGAAGAACTGTAAGGTAACCATGGCTTGTATACTTACACTGTACAGTATTGCTGTTAGCACTATTATGATCAGCATCTCAAAAGGCCAAAGCAAAAGTGACTTTAGCCACTGTTATTTAAGTTGTAGCATCTATTTTTTTTAAAAACGTGGCATAGTGGTTAAGTGAAGTAACCGAAAGCTGGAATACCAGTCGTGCTGCTTGATGCAAGAAGACCTCGTCTAAGATGTTAATGACCAAAGGGAAACACCTCAGTCATCTGAGGCTTTGGGGAACAGGAAGAAAAAAGCAAAAAAAAAAAAAAAAACATAGGTTGAGTAAATGTGCAGGAAGTATTAGAAAGCAGAAGGAGCTCATTCATACTCCTGTACTCATGGCTGTTGGCAAAGGTTGGAATCATCTCTGGTGAGCGACAAAGGCAGTGAAAGGTGTGGTACAGGGTAAGAGTAGAAGCGATGTTTAATAGTTCTTTACTCCTGCTTTATCATCACCCGAGACAGGCTTTGCACGGAGGCACAGTGGAAAAGAACCTGTTGGTCTGCTCTGCCCGTGTGTGCAGCCCACTGTCCTGAGTGGTGATGGTGAATCGAGCCTGATTATCGAACTTTTACTTGCCATGTCAGATCTAGCACGCGGTACAAAAGTACCTTGCAGGGGCTGCTTTCCTGCTGCATGGTTTGTTGTAAGCGTTGTATGGCTTTTTTCACAGATGTGGGCAATATTGATAGCTGTTGTTCTCATCATCATCATCATCATTATTGGTAAGTTCTACCAAAATGGGGATTTCTTGTACAGTTGGAATAGATGGTGTTAATTCACTGACAGGTACAGTTTAAATAAAGGCAGAATACTCAAATGGAAGTATATACAACATTGATTTGAAACAGCAGTGACTGTTTTAAGGATGGCTGCCTGCAACGAGTGGTAAACCACGACCAATGTGGGAGCTGTGGCAGCTGAATCTCAGACACCTGTGCAGAGTGAAACAGGTTAAAGTGGAAATAGCAAAGACTTAGATATGAGGAACAGCCTTGTTTTTTTGCAAATGTGTTGCAGAAGTATAAGGAGAAATACCATATGCCTCCCTTGTCTGAGAACTGTCTTTCATCAGCCTCAGCTTCTTGCTAGCCGAGTCCTCGGCAGTGCGGCGCTTCCAGCTGTGCCACCGTAGCAGGCAGGCGTCTTTAAAGTAGGAACTCTGCTGTGGGGTGAAATGATGCTAATGTTGGGTCAGCACAGTGAGCCAGGGGACGCGTTGTTCAGTCTTTGGCTTGAATTCTTGTGTAATTCCCCAGGTATTTAATGGGAGGACAAAGTTTAAGTTTGTGCTGTAATACAGCAGCAAAGGCTACAGTAGGCGTTGGTAACAGGGGTGCACTCCCGGGTGAGCAAGCAGAAAGGAAAACTAAAACCAGGAAAACCAACATGGGAAACTCTCGGATCACCCTTTAGCTCTCTCTAGGATCCTAAACTCTGGAAGTGCGGGGTGGTTGTGGTGAGGGGCTGGAGGAGACTGTCCTTTGTCCAACTTCTTTCTTCTTTTTGTAGTCCTGAGTGTGCCTTCATGAGTTGCGGGAAGAAGCTCCGCCCAGCTGAAGGTGCCCATCTTCAGCCTCTCCGCTGCAAACCTGCTGTATTTTCAGCCCGTTTACTGCCATTCAAAGCAAAACTATTTTGATTACTGAAGCGTTAGCTAACTTTACCTGGTTGCCTTAAGACACTCCTGTCACAAACTACTAACGAGCACAGCCTTCCGCTCGCACAGTGCCTTCATGA